TTCTGAGTCTCCACTGAGAAGGGGTAGGTTCAAAAAAATGCTAGTATTTCATACGTCAGTTTTTGTGGAAGTCTTTCTTTGAAATCTCACTATGTACAGTATTTCAGAAAAGTGAGGAAAGTTACAGGAGAATTTCCTCCTTCATTATCCCTCTGAGAAAATGAAAATGCATTTTCACAATACTCACTTTTGGAAATGGAAAAATGCTACCTTGTGTATGAGAATTCCAGGGTTCTCCACCTGTCAGGCCTGACACAATTCAGATGCATAAGCCTAAGATATGTGATTCTCCATATGTCGAGGGCAAGTGTCATACATACTGATTTGCACAGAAAACCACAGAGTGCACTTTCCAGTGAAAGCCAGCATTTTGACAAGGCTGAGTGATGGCTTAGAACAAGAGGGGTAGAAACTATTGTGTAGAGTTGCCCATAGACCCAGGCAGATCTTGTGCCAGGTTGTTGAGAGCTGCCACATTAAAATATCATTTGAAATTTAAATTCCTTGTAAAACACACACAAAAAAAATATGGGTCAGAAAGTTGCTAATGGAGATCTTAAGGTTAGGACTGTCACTAAATCATCCTGAAGACTTAGAAGTGACTGAAAGAGAAAGAGAATTGGAAAAGTGGTCAGTTAAAATGCTAGCAGTAAAAAAAGGGAAAAAAAAAAGAAAAACATCTTTTTAAGAGTCAGCACATGGAGATATTGATGGGGTCAGGCATCATCATCTGTATTTTTATTTCCAGGTATGTTTATTACATTTGAGATGAGAAAATACTAGTTTTGATGCTCTAATAAGATAATAAGGTTGTAGTAGGAGACAAGACTCTTGGTGTGATGAATAAATTAGTCTAAATTCCGTATTACTTCACTGTTAAGGCTTTTCTCTTAAAGAATGAGAATTATATATGACCTTAACAATTTTTCATAAAACGTGGATCATCCCCCCAACCAGCAGACATTTTCAACTGTCTTTTAGCCTCTAATTTATACTTTTGTCTCCTTGCTTTCAGCAGATGATCTTGCTTTACTGAGAAGACAACTTTATTTCAACCCCTCAATTGTTCTCTGCCTTCTCTAGACTTTGATCTAGCCATTTCCCTTCTTTTTCCTCTGCCTTCAACCTCTCTTTCCTCTGGCTTATTCTGCACAGCCTATAAATTAGAAATCTAAGAGAAATTTTCACTTGGCTTTATACTCCACAGGCTACTATTTTTTCTCTTTCCATCCTTTATCACCAGCTTCTTAGAAGTACAGTCCACACCACTGCCTCATCATTCATGCCTCTCACTACCCCCTTGTTATTTGACTGCTACAATTATTTTCTCAGATATCTCTAATTATTCAATGACATTTCTCAATCATCCACTACTCTTACCTGGAGTAGTTGTGTGTGTGTGTGTGTGTGTGTGTGTGTGTGTGTGTGTGTGTTGATCTATTTACACCTGAGGTTATATGTACTTACTTGTGTGGTATGTATTATTTGTGTCCCTTACTTGAGAGACAAGTAAGTGTTTTTCTCTAGCTAAAAGGTCAGGTAGGGAGAGGGTGTATGGAGGAGAAGGAGCCTCAAACCCCAAGAAGAGTGTTCGAACTTGCCACTAAGAGGTAAGTGGAGCTAAAGTGTGACAAAGACAAATATGACCAAAATCAGAGGTTTAAGAAATTGGATTGTGTCTCCTCCCCTTCCTATCTACATGGTGTCTGTCTAGTGTGTTCTCCTCATACTCCCACAAGAAGGCTCATCTAAATAGGCATTGTTCTTTGGCCAGCCTTGGGCCCAGGTTGTTCTTACAAACCCAGCCAGGTGTGGGCAGAGCTGGTGTGAGCGTGTCTTCCACTATTGCAAGAGATGGCCTCCTGGGAAGGTGCTGCAAGAGTCTTGGACATTCTGTGTAAGATTGAGCCCTGCCAGCCAGCTAATTAAATGAGTTGTTTAAGAGCTCCAAGCTTCGCAGCAAGAGTGGGTTGCTAACTTCCTGACTCACCTATTCAACTCGCTTGTGGTCCCAGCAAATATTCCCTCTGGTAGGACACACTGCCCGCCTTTATTTTGAAGCTGTTCTGTTTCCTCACAGGGTAGATAGGAATGTGCCAAGTAATAGCTTTCCTCTTTTGTGTGGGATATCACTTATGAAGTAGAGTTCAGTTCTTTGTGCCAAAGGAATTATGGGAATGTCAGAACAGTTTTGAACAAAACTGCATATTCAATTAAAAGACTTTCCCTTCAAATGCCCTAAGTTCTCACTGGAAAGATGAAGAGTCCCTCTCAGCACAGAGGGGCCTAACTGGGGAGATGGGGAGTGAAACCCAGGTTCTTCATCCCTATTTGCAAGCCTAGGAAACCACTGTGGGAGTGCAGATGAGCTGCAAGGCATCTTTAGAGCTTAGAAATATAAATAGCTACAGAGACCAAAGTCAACAATAGAGCTGCCATAATAGAATTTTGTAGTTTAGGAATAACTTTACTTTTGTTCCACAAGATCCTCACAAAAGGAAAATGCTGTTAATTAAAACCCCCAACTGAAGCCTCTTTGTTTTGATGAAATACAGGGTCTTTATTCTATCCAAGAAGGAGAAAGAGGTACTTTTTCTTAGCAGAGGTAATTGCTACCTCTCCCTACTACCACTACCTGCAAAGGCTAAGGGTTGTAGCAAATGTGAATAGCTACCAACTAGTAGAGAGTGCATCTCTGCTTTTTACCTATCATAATTAAGGACCTATTCAGCTAAAATAATGAAATTGATTATATGCCTGGTAAAATGGGATCTGGCTAATTGTCATGCCAATTCATGACATTTTATTTCTGTTGTCTCTTCTACAAAGCTGGTTGTTGAGTTCAATACTCCTTCCTCTAGGATAACTTTTAGTAAATAAAAATCTATTTACAGGAATTCATGATGGATAGTTTCCAGCTGATTTGTTCATGCTTAGGGTCATGTTTGGCAAATATACCATATGTGTTTTTCATGTTTCTTTTTCTCCACTCATCCCTTAACTGTGAATGTCCCCCAAGAATCTCTTATGAACTCTCTTCTTTGTCTAGACACACAGCCATTCTTATGGCTTTGTGTTTCATCTATTACTTCATCTATTATTAACCCCTAAATTCTAAATTCTTTCTTCTGATTTAACTCTGTAAAGTTCAAACATTTTATTTCCACCTTTTTAATTAAAATTTCCACTTGAAACTCCACCTGACTGTTTAAGTCAGCATGTCCAAAACCAAACTTACTGGATTCCCCTGTGTACAAACTAATTTCTCTTATGCAACCTCATCCACTAATTGTTTAGGATTTAAACCCAGAGTCCCTCCTTGCTGCCTGTCAAACACCAAGACTCACCAATTCTCTATCCCAAATATCTTGGACATACAGCCTCTTCTGCTGTGTCCTCTCTGCCATTACCTTTTAGTTATTCACTCATTAAAGGCTTATTATATTATAGCACTGTTGTAAGAGCTATTAACATTCAGGGAAGCTGAGAAGCAATGAATAAGTGAAGTACAAAGTGCTGTGGTCATTGACCTATCAGAATCCAGGATGGTGCATATTTAGGGTGGAGCAGGATGTTCAGGAGTTTGTGAGTCTGATTCTAGGACCCTTCTAGTACAGTCATCTCTTGCTAGAATATTTAGGAAAGACTTCAGCCATGCTACCTGTGCTTTATTTTCCAAACTGAAACCAAACTGTCACTTTTCTGAATAAAACCCTTTCCTGGCTCCCCACTATAGCAGAACAAGTGCCAGCCAAACTTCTTGACTCTACTTACAAAACCTTCCAACTCAGCCTTTGTTCCCCATAGCACTGTTCTTTTATACAACATAGGTACTAATTTCACAGCCCATGAAATAGGAAAGGAAAGAACAGAAATGAAAATGCCAACTCTGCCTTAAAAATTTACCATCAGAAGCATTCCCAACCATCCTCTTTACCCCTTTGGCAATCAACTCAGTGGATCAGCTTCCTAATGATTGCTGTTCACACTCTGCAAAACTGTTTCAAGTATCAAGACACTGAATGGTTTTGATGAATACAGAGAATCATTGTGTGGTTATATACTGTCCCGATCTACATTCAGAGGCTGTATATGATATGTGGCATATTGTAGCCATGCAACAGGCTGCCAGAAACAAGTCCTTAGGTCCTGCTCTTAGAAACATTGGGTTCACCTTTATAGATGAGTATAATATCAAGAGAGAATGAGAGCCAGGTGCTGGCCACCTCTCCCTTCACAGGAGTGGGCCATGAAACAACATTCATTCATTAATGTTTCCATTCACCCATTCATGCATCAAACACTTACTGAGAGTTTTCCAAGTACCCTGTGTTGCAAAGATGTGCCCTATCCCCAGGGATCTCACAGTGTCTTCTGTGGTAAGTTTTGTGATTTGATACAAATGCTAGGATCCAAAAGGAGTGAGCCAGATTGCTGCTGAGTAATTGGTGTTCTGGGGGATACTTGAGAGGTTTTTAAAGATTGAAGAAAGTTTTATGTTGGAGCAAGAATATGTGTGTGTGTGCGTGTGTGCGTGTGTGTATGTGTGTGTGTGTGTGTATGTGTTTAAAGAATGGGGGAATGGTAGCCCATGGATGGGAAACAAATTGCTGCCCTGGTAAAGTGAACCAAAATGCAAAGTTAATTTAAAAACTACATGATCTGGGAAGATTACAGCAAGTTCAGTGTGGCTTAGGGCAGGCAGCAAAGGGTTGGCAAAGGATACAGGGGAGATGCTGGAAGTTAAACAAGGCACAGATTATAGAAGACTTCTACTACAGAGCTGAAACTTTCTCTATAAGCAGTGGGAAGCCCTGAGAAAGTCAAGAAAGGGAGTGACTCATCAGATTTTTTTTTTTAAATAAAGATCCAGTGTGGGTACAGAGATTGAATTTGAGAAAATGAGCATTTAATGAATTATTTTTAGAGGTGACCACACCAAAGTACAAATACATGCCTATGTTTCAACTAACCTTGTATTTGTGTGTGTTTCCTCCTAGTGACAGTACTAGCCATTTTCCATGAACTACACGTTGACCCTGATCTATACACACTCCTGTTTGGGGAGAGTGTGTTGAATGATGCAGTGGCTATTGTCCTCACATAGTAAGTACCAGAACTGTTTTTTTTTGTTGCTGTTGTTGTTTTTTTTAACCTTGTGAAATATGCTTCCACTTGGTGATAATTTTCAAGGACTTTAATAGTATCTTTTGTTTTATGTTGTAAAGATGTGGCAGTTTCTAGTTCTTAAGGAATTGTTACCACAGAAGATCTCTAATAATGGGTACAATTCACTAAGTACATAAATTTTAACACTATTAATGAGTTTCATGTTTCTAACATATTACAAGGTACCACCCAGAGGGTAACTTTTTTCTCAGGCACCTATATTTAGTTGATTAACTTAGAGTTCCTAAAGTGCATGTAAATGAGCTTCCTTCATTTCAATCAATATCATTTACTTTTTTCTTTATACATGTCATTTTCCAGATAATGGACTAATGCTAACCAATGTATTTATAGTAAGTTGGAGAGTCACAATACTCTTTGTTTCTCAATGCAAATGCAATGCTTAATAGGAACACATACATCTTTAAATTATCATGTCACATGTGAAACTAATGGAACTTCAGCTAAGTGCTAACGTAATTTTCCCTTGATCCTGGAAGAATTTTCCTTTCGAGATGAAAACTAGTGCTCTTTCCTCACCTTCCCTTTAGACACTTACCATTTATATTTAATAAATGCCACTTCAGTGGCTTTCACTATGTCAAAGGTCTCTTCTTGGTTTTAGATTAAGACCAACATTTTGGGCAACTGTCAAATACCCCAATGGAAAACAGCTATCTGATAATTAAATGTGACAACAGGATTCAACTCAGGGTGTTAATTACTTCAAATGCATTTGAAAATGTATTGTGAAGTAACAAAGGATTTTTAAAAGTCAGATCTCCCAGAGGGAAGCAGGAAACCACAGAGCAGAACCACTCTTCTGCCAACTGAATTTCTTAAGGCTACCAGCCAAAGTTGCCACTGAATTCAGCAATTTTTTTTAATCTTTTTTATTCTTTTTTAATGTTTTATTTATCTCAGAGAGAGCGAGAGAGACAGTGTGAGCAGGGGGGGGGTCAGAGAGAGAGGGAGATACAGACTCTGAAACAGGCTCCAGGCTCTGAGCTAGCTGTCAGCACAGAGCCTGAAATGGGGCTCGAACCCACAAATCGTGAGATCATGACCTAAGCCGAAGTCGGACACTTAACAGACTGAGCTACCCAGGCGCCCTGAATTCAGTAAATTTTAAGCAAGTATCTCCAGATAAACTATTATTTCACCTGGTCATTGAGAAGTGCCTCTCCTGCATTAAAGGAAAATACCAGTGAGTGCAAATTAAGAGCAAAAGCCATGGCAGATTCACAAATGCTAAAGGATGCTTTTATTTTTTTTTTTTTAACCCACATTTCCTAAGTTTATTTTATTTTTTTTTTTTACAAATAGTTTATTGTCAAATTAGTTTCTACATAACACTCAGTGCTCATCCCCAAAGTGCCCTCCTCCATGCCCATCCCCCCCTCCCCCCCACATCCATCAGTCCTCAGTTTTTGTCAGCATTCAAGAGTCTCTCATGGTTTGCCTCTCTCCCTTTCCCCCACCATTTCCGCCCTTCTTCTCCCGCTTGTTCCTCCGTCAAGTTCCTCCTAATCCTCCTATACGTGCAAACATATGATATTTGTCCTTCTCTGCCTGACTTATTTCACTCAGCATAACACCCTCAAGGTCCATAAAGGATGCTTTTAAAGAAACAGCAAGAACAAATACTTAGGACATCAGGAATCTCTGTCCAAGAAATACTAGTATTAAAGGAACATTTGGAATAAATTTTTTTAAATCTGCTGAGTCCCACATTTTTGTGTCTTAGGCTGCCAAGCTGTAAAAGGCCAAGCAAAGCGAAACCACCAAAGCACAAATGAACTTGGGAAAGAACCATGCAGTTACAACTAAGAGAAAATTTGGCCTTTCCACTTTCAGCCCTAGCATTCACAATAGTTTTCCATTTAAAGTGCAGACTCCAGGGATGAATGTTGATGCTGTTGTGCACAAGCCAAGGGGGCATTTGAAATGATCATTTTGTTATCTCCGCAAGCAAGTTCATGGTTATTACTGGCACTGCCTTTTCTACTCATCTACCCATGGGTTGGATGTCTTCCAAAGTGTTTCCCACCATGGCAAGACCTCTTTCCTTTTTTTTTCTAGGCATGAGACACTTGCCATTCTAGCCAAAATGTTAGGTTTCACAGGTTTGGCAATTTAAGTGTCATGCAGAGTGAACCCAATGAGCTCCACCTTTAAAGTAAAAGTAAAACTAAATTAGATATATTTGACATGGTAACCTCCACACATTCAAACCTGCAGGCTCTTCTTTCTACCTGGTGCACCTGATCCCTACTGGTGTCTTCCTAAGCTCTAATGAGTAGAACGCACCCACACTGTCCTGGATCCAGACTGTCTGGCCACCAGTGCCATCTGTTGCTGACCACGCCCTCCACCCTGTGCAATTTTCCACAATGGTGTCCTCTTCATTTTGCTCACTTGGTTGCTTTTTACACTTAGATCACAGCACATATGATCATCTCTTTTTATATACCTATTCACACACACATACTCCCTTTCCTTTTAATGCCCCATCCCCACACTCTCTCTTCCAGCTATCTTCCCGCTCCCTATTTAAAAGTTTTTCATATCTTTCAGACCAGAAGTTCAAACATTTTTTTCTTCACTTTTCTCTTCTTTCACATTAAACCATACACAGCACCCTGACACAACTCTCTGGCTGGTAACTCAGGCCTTTAAATGCACAGAGTTCACTCCTTCCTGGCTTCTGTTTCTTCCCAATCAAGACTTTCAGCACTTACCTCAGTCTCCTTCGGGAACCACTAGCCCACATGCTAAGCTTCTACACCAGCCCTGCATGAACCTCGGTCAATTCCCTTCCAGCACAGCAGGGCAATCTTAGGTTTGAACTTATATTTGCCTTTTTAGATAGTAACTTTTGGAAGAGAGAGACTATGTGCTTGAAATGCAGATTAAAAGAACAAATAAAAACTCTTTCGTGTTTTCCTCTTCTTAGTTCCATCTTTGTTTAGTTTTGAAATGTAAGAATAGTGATAGGGCTCTTCCTGTACCATGGAGAAGTTATACATTTTGATGTTAAATCGAATATAATAAAGAACTGAAATCATTGACCACTATGGCCCCTGGCACTACCTCCAAACTCCTTTGAAATGGCCACTTTCTTTAATTTACCTTCCCATCTCCCATCACCAAATATCCTGTTTAAGAATCACCCTTTCCAGTGTTAGTATTTTAAAAAAAATTTTTTTTAATGTTTTATTTATTTCTAGGAGAGAGAGAGAGACAGCGTGAGCAGGGGAGGGTCAGAGAGAGAGGGAGTCACAGACTGAAACAGGCTCCAGGCTCTGAGCTGGCAGTCAGCACAGAGCCCGACGCGGGGCTCGAACCCACGAACCGCAAGATCATGACCTAAGCGAAAGTCGGACGCTTAACCGACTAAGCCATCTAGGCGCCCCAGTATTTTTAAAATTTTAATTGTTAGTGCCGTAACAGTACTGTACTCTAGCATTTCATTCAAATATATAGTAATTTAGCCACATTTTAGCTTAAATCAGCTTTTCTGTGCTAGTCTAAGAAGCACATGGCAGATTATAATACTGTTTCTTAGGTTTAAATGTGCTCTGAATTTCAGACAAATAATGTATAATTGAATTTGATAACCACAACTACTGTACACAGCAGCAGGTGGTGGATGGTGTCCCTATGGCTTAAAATGATCCAGAAGTATTCATCTTAAAATAAAAGTAATTTTATTTAACAAAATATTTTGAAATTAGCCTCTCTCTCTCTTAACCATACTGTCATTTTAAGTATGTAGGGAATGTCATTCCCAAACATGTAGTATGAGTGTTGGTTCATAAATGAATGAATTCCATATGATGGTTTTGCATTCTAAAGATTGTATAATAGGCTATGAAGAAAAGACAGAAGACATTTTTGAGAGGTCTTTGAAGGATGTGTGTTTTTGAATCTTGAACAAAGACATTACATTCAGAGGCAATATGGTGGAGTACAAAGAGCCCTAGATTTAAGTCAAAAGAGCTGATGTCAGGCTTGCCATGAATTAGCAGCACAGTTATTACAGTTGACAGGAAACCAACCCAAACTGGAGTAAGTGAAAAGGGAATTTGTGTTGGCTGATATGACTGAACAGCAGGAGTAGAAATGACAGCAAAGGACCCAGTGAAATGAGCAGGACTCTTCTCCCCTCCCCCCTCACTCAGCTTCTTCAGGGGTAGCTCCCTCGCCTCGTCCAGTTTGGCCTCCAGCATCTCCTAGGGCTGTATCTTTCTTCAGGAGAATAAAGCAAGAATCTCTGTCCCATTAGTCGAGTCCAAATCTTAGTACACCTGACAGATTGTGATGCCATTTCAGACCCACTAGTGGCCAGGAGAAAGTCCCATGTTTATTTTCTCAGCTCTAAGTCACGTGCCTCAGGAGTTTAAAACCATACTCATTTTCACCAGAAGTACATAAACTAAGACTGAGAAAACGTGGGATTATTGCTCAAGTAATATTGCCACAAAAAAGAAGTGTATGCTGCACAGGAACAAAAGAAAACCAAACCTAGAAGCCACAACAGTGACACTATACGGCTGTAAGCTCTCCATGCTTTTTCCTTGCCTATAAATTCAAGAATAGTCATTCTATATATTTTACAAAATTGTTCTGAATGATAAATAAAGCAATATAGTTGGAAAGACTCTATAATCTATATAATTGATGCTATATAAAGATATATATACTTATAATTTAGATAACCATTTTTATCAAGATATTTCATTCTACTTACACAGATCTCTTTCATTTCATTAAAATGACTAAGGATAGACCTGCTTCTAGTGAAGCATTCCTTCATAAATATGCCATTTTATGATCCAAGGAATATAGAGAATAACCATTTTCACATATGGTTTCCCCCAATAAGAATGAAGCACTTAGTTAAGGAATACCGTCTAAAGTTGATAAATCAAGAA